CCTCTCAAGGAGACCCCAGAACTGTTTGGTCTGTAAAAACACCTATGCTGACAAATCAACAGAGAGTGGAGGTCTCTACCGTAGAGTTGGTAACAGGCTCGGGATTGCCTCCATTTGTGTCTTCAATGAAACTACTCATCCATGAGGCCTCGGCCGCTCTCTGATCAATAAACATGAGCAATAACGACAGCTGCTGACAAGGTCCCTGCTGTAGGGAATGATCACAACAAGAGCTTTTGCTGACGAGGAAACACAGAAGAAGAACCCACTCGGACGACAGCAGGTACGTACCGGTGGATTTCCATTTTGGAAGCCGGCACACATCTCGGACTGAGGATGAAGCTGGAAGCTTTGGACTGTGGGCCAGAGGACTGGATCTGCATGTCTCCGTGCGGCCACTTCCTGCTGGCGCTGACCCGCCCAGCACCCCTCCTCCCCTACCGGCCTCCCCCTTCCTCAGTCTTGCCTCCCCTCGCTTCCTCCCTTTTCCCTCGGCAGGACCGAGGTGATCTCTGGTTTCTCACCGTCTCTACCTAAACAGGGAGTCCCCCTCCCCTCCCCTCCCCCCCTCCCCCAGTCCCACTCCCGGCCTCCCACCTCTTCTCCTCAAAGCCCCCGGATCAGGGAGATTCCTGCCTTATTCATATGTGCGATGTCAGCGAGTCGGCCGGCGAGTGAGAGAGCCATCCAGACAGTCAGCCAGCTGTGGTTTTCCCATGGCAGTGGCACCAGCCAGCAAACACACACACACACACACACACGGTTCAATCCTGGCTTGTTGCCTCCGTGGCGACAGCAGGGGTATCCAGGCAACAGGCTCCTGCTCCCGCACAGCCCACTCTTGCGCTCTTCTGGGCTTCCGTGGTGGAGGCTGTTATGGGGGGAAGTCACTGCGGCGGTATCACGCAGTCTGGCACGGCTCAGCTCAAAAGGGTTTATGTAGAGGTTGGTGGTGGTGGTGGTGGTGGGGGGGTTCCTCTCTGCTATTACTCTCTGTCACTTTCCTTTGTCTCTTCCCTGGTTTCCCTGCCCTACATCCACCTCGTTCCTGTTTTGTCTTTCACTTGATCTCTCCCTCTTTCATCTGCCCACGGCTGCCTCTCCTCCTCGCTCTGGCTGTTTTTTTACCTGCACGACTCTCCGAGCGCGCTCGCTCTCCCCATCTCTAACTCGTCTCTCTCACTCCCTCCCTCTTCGAAAGAAAACGTGCCGAAGAGGGTTAGGAGGAACGAGCGGCCGGAATTAGCGATGTTTGGCGACACCGCGACAAGGATTAGCTGAGCGCTTCCCCAAGCGTCTGACAAGCGCTCAGCTCTGATGGGAGAGGGAGTCTCCACTTTACGCTCGCCGTCTAAATGTGGTGCATCCGTGCGACTACGCTGGAGTCCGTTTTCAGGCTTTCCATTTCAGCTCTGTGCTAAAAAAAGACTATGCAGATTGAAGTCGGAGCACTGGAATCACAGCTGACTGAAACTGAGACAAAAAATGGAGTCAAAGGCTGCCTACAATATGCACATGTGAAAGAAATCCTCATCAAGAGTTAGAGTATCCGATATCTATAGATGGTGAGGTGAGGAGCTATTTTTATCTGGCGTCTTTCCCACTGAGCTGATATTTACTGTTGCGCGACCCTTGCCGGGTTTTATTGGTTGCTATGCCAACTCTTGTGGTAACCTGAGAGCTAGATTGTCCTCTTTCTCCTTGTGGTGTTTTGGTATGTGCATGTAAAAAACTCAGAAGGAGAGGTTCACATTTTAAGCTTGATTCATTAGCTTTTAGCATAATGGCAGAACTGGATGTGTCATGAAGGTGTCACTATTCATTATTGAAGTGATGGCGGCAGACAGTGGCGGTCTGTTATTCAAGAACAACCTTCTGCTTTTATCAAGAAGTCGTTTGAATTAGTCAGCAGATTTCTGATTGGAATGCTAGGGCCGGGTTCCAATTAGGGCTGGGTAGGTTTGTGAAAATCAGGTAAATTATGAAGCATCTGTCGCTGAATTGTAACCTTATCAAAACAACATGATGTGAATGTGGAACATGGTGAAACGGTCGCGGCTAACGATGCAAAACCTAACGATGTGAAACAGTCATGACTAACATTGTAACACCTGGTTAATGTTGTGAAGCGGTCACGTTTCACATTGTAACACCTGCTAACGTTGTAAAACGGTTGTAATTTCAGGGTGACACCTTGTTAACGATGTGAAACGGTCACGGTTAACACCGACACCTGGTCACGGTTATCAAGTAGTCAACGTTGTGCAGCGGTCACATTTCACACTGGCTCAGGGAAGAGAGCGGCTCGATCCCTGGCTCCTCCTGTCCACATGTTGAAGTGTCCTGACGAGATACTGACGCCTGCACGGTGTCAACAGGGACAAGAAGGCCGGTCCCCTCGGTGAAAGTCCTGTGTTTGTTGGACTCCCATCCCTACCTTAGTGGACTTTCTCTCTCTTTAGACTACGCCTGTTGACAAAATAGTCGTTAGTTGCATCCCTGCTGCCCGAGCATCAGTATTGGCACCGTGGGACCAGACTGATTAAAACCAGAACTCCAGGCAGATCAAATGCACAAAGGCGGCCTCATAAATGTAATGTAGGCACAGCGCTGAAACTGAGGACACACCTGTAACGTGCTAATGATCGTGGGGTATAAACTACCTACAAGACATCTTTTTAGATAGTTCCATACGTTTTTATGCACAACAGCACTCATAAGCTTCCTCTGCAGCTGTCACTGACAAAGGATCAACTTGTTCAACACATGCCTTTTTTTCTAGGGTTTGTATTCAAGTTGTGTTTCAGCCCTGAAGGCTAAACACTGATTCAAGGGTTTGATGTAATTACTACACATGTTGCAAATAAAGGCTTGTGTTTTTGTCTTTTCCCACTGGACAGCTGGCTCGACAGGCATGAAATCAGCCACAATAAGGCAGTGCATTTCTATCAGCATGTGCTGTGTTTTCTGTGATGACAGACACACACAGACACGCACACGCACGAGACATGGCTGCGAGGGGAGGCTGTACCGAGCTCTGGAGGTCGGAACAACAAGGGCTGGAGGAGACGTGTGTATTTGTGCCTTTGTTCGGCACATTAACGTGTCGTCACTGAGCCGACACGCAACACATCGCTGACTGACACATGTTCACCTACACAAACAAGTCTGTTTTTTGCTTCAATGATCATTAAGCATCGTAATAATGGATAGAAAAACGTGTTTTTTTTTGCAGTAATTGTCAATAACCTACATATTAATCGATAAATGATAATAAATGATGATATATGATTATATCTAGGAATGGACATATTTTGAGTATTTATCCAAAGAATTTTTTAACAAATAAACATCAGTGATGTGGATATCATGGCTAAGTGGGTAAAGGCAAATAACAGAACAGCTATAACAGTCTGGCAAGTTCAGACAAACGACATCACTTTACTGTAATGCAGCCTTTAAAACCAGGAGAAGACAACACTACTTTATCACCATAATATTGATAAAATAGCGACATATTCCCCAGCCGTATTCATATCCAGTTAATGTCTGGTGTGGTCCTAAAGTGGAGCTGCCACACTAATGGGCAGAACTATCAAAATTACTTTTTAAAAAGCTGGGAGAGGAAACGAGCCCCCCCCCCAGGGAAACGGGCCCGTGACGGATGAAAGGTCCACCATGAGAGCGGTTTGTCACACTTCAGCTTAAAGCGCGCAGTCAAAGCTGTCTGAGCGCTGTGCACACATCCAGAGCTATTACAATCAATTAGACGGAGGGAACGAGGAGGAGGAGGCGGTAATGGGGGGAAAGTGGCACCTGTAATACGCTCCTGCCTCTTTTTAGCGCCACAGACGATGCGAGGGAGGAGAGGAGGGAGAGGGGGAGAAGAGGGGGAAGAAGTGGAGACAGAAGGAGAGAGGGAGGGAGAGAGCGCTCAGTCATCAGATATTTCCATCGTGATGTCCATTAGAAACACATAAGGGCTTGATTTGTGCCAAAGCTTGCTACTGGGCACGCTCCATTTAGCCACAGTCACTGTCCAAGTTTTCAACTCAGCTTTGTAACAACACAGAAAAGGGCTGCGGCTGGTCAGTGCCGCCTGAGATTACACCCTCATGGAGAGGTGAATACCTCAACGAAAGTTGTACTTTAAAGTTTCTACATGGAATCTTCTTTTTGTGCTGATTTTGGCGGCCCCTGTGAACGAAAAATTTGTAGTATCTTATGAAACAGCACCAGAGTCCCTTTCATTTTACTGCAGCCGGGGGCTGACAGTCTGTCCCGCTCAGTCCTGGTCCTGGTCCTCCCATGCCTCCCTTCCCTCCGGTGGGCCTCTAGCAGCTCGGTGGCTCCCGGCGGTGACCCGGTGGTGCAGCGAGGCGATGCTCTGCTCCTGGCCGGAGGAGAAGTTGCTGTCGGGCACGGAGCGCTCCACCCTCCCACCGGAGCTCCGACTGCAGGTTGAAGACGGCAGCGAAGCGGCATCCGGGTCCGTCTGCGGTGGGAGGCCCCGCGGGGGTATGAGCTCAAGGGGTTTCCGGTGAAACCTGGGTGATTTTATTTAATTTGGAGCGGAATCAGACTCGGTGGCACCGTTTTTATAACCATTTTAAAAAAGCCAATCTACTTTCTGTACGCGTCTGTAGATTTCTCCTAAATGCCTCATTTGCATAGCCATAACTTTTAAAAAAAAAGTGCAATACAAAAAAATGACTTCTTTAATGTAAGTAAACAACTAAATGAAGTTTTGAGGTGTTATCTATGAGTTAAACTTTTACCCTGATCATTAGTGGTGTCTCCCCTTTAAGTCAGACGGTGTGATTGTGATCTGATTGATAATCCAAATCTAATACCACACTGCCATCCCATTGTATTCTACAGGCACAGAACACAGCCAGTAATCAGGATTTACCTACAAAATATAAACAGTGGAGTCTGCAGACCGAACAATACAAAGTTTATAGCTGGAAATAAAACTGAGACATTAATCGAAGTGGATATTTGCAGAAGTAAATACTGCGAGTGTACCGTTCGACATGTTGGCCGGGCTTCAGATGCAGATAGAGACACAGAGGTGGGGAAAGGAAAAGATAAAGAAGAGAGTGATGCTCCTGTAAGAGAAGCAAAGGCTGGCAGGAGGCCTGATGCCATTTCAGGTTGCGTCACCGCAGGGAGCGGCTAGCTCAAATGCCAGACAACACGAGATAAGACGGCATTCAGTAAACCAACGGAGGAAAAAGAATCAGAACAATGACATCATGCCAGAGAGTGGGCTGGATTTCTGGCTTTTGGCACTCTTTACTTTGTTTACTTCACTCTTAAGTGCACGGATCAAACACCAGAGAGCCGTAGATAAACACAGAGAAATATTGCAGCGTAACCCGTATTTAATCAGAGACGTTCTCCGCTTATATCAACAGTGTCTTTAAGCACGGAGACCCACTGAGGGGGAGACAATAATCCAGCAGCAGCCGGCCCTCCTCTTTAATTAAACTCTACAAAACAGCCTCCTCTTCTTGAAGTGTGTGTGTGTGTGTGTGTGTGTGTGTGTGTGTGTGTGTGTGTGGTGCTGAGGAAAGGAGATGACATCATCGGGGCCAGTCAGCAGTCCTCTTTGCCACAGCGGACAAACAAACAACGACTGCAGTGGACTGAAGAGAGACAGAGGAGACCCCCCCTCTGCCTTCACAATAAAAGCATGCATTTACACCAATTACTTCACTGACTGTACTGGCATGCATGATTGATTATTGTCATTATTCATTCCGGGTTCAAACTCTTTTGCGGTCAACAGCAGGAAGCAGCTCCATTGCCTAAATAGGGTTAGGGCTTTTTCTTTTTTATGATTTATGGCATTGTAACTGTGTTAAACTGCACAAAATGCATGTTTGAGTTCCCTCTACTTCTAGCCATGACTGTGCTGTTTCCATAGAGGTGCAGTGAAAATCAAGGCTACAGAGAGAAACATGTGACAGAAGCGGAACCCACCCCGAAACTGCTGGGGTTCAGAGGGTTAACTGCAGCAACCCATGTTTAATGCATACCGGCTGTCTGAATATATGATGACTCTGATTAGAATCAGAATTTTCTCTGATATCCCGTGATGCTGCGTTTCCTGCCCAGTTGTCCGAGGACGGGCCGAGTCTGAGCCAGCAGAAGCATCCTGGAAGACGTACTGGACTGACTGGACCGTTTGTGAGGCCGACTCATTCTAGTGTTAATCATACATGGACTCAACCAAAACTGTGCACATGTAGGATGGTAAAATAACAATATGGTACTAAGAAGTGTGATATCAATGATGTGCAAAAACACTTTGTTTACTGAGATAAAAACAGACTAACAAACTAACATGAGTCAAGTCTTGTCCTCAGATATGTTACGACCATAGTTTCCACCAATAAATGAATCTATTCAGGCCATTACGGTAAAACTGGAGACATCTTGGTCCCATTGTAACTGGCCGATTCTTAGCATTTCATTATATGACCACTGTCTTGTTATGAACAGAATTGTTTACCGAGTTGACTTCTCGAACTCAAAAACAAACTCATCGACTACAAGTCAACTCACAAACCATTAAATTGGCAAAATAAACGAAGCAATCCTTTAAAGCTAGTTCTAGCAGCTGTGGTATGTCTTATGGCTTAATTATGTTTTTGGGTGACCGTAAGAAAGCAGAGATAAGTAGCCAGCCGGTGTAAAAGAACACGACGCCGCGGGTCGGTTTTCCTCCTGTCCTCTGACGATCATATAATATTACCCCATGGGGCGGACTAACACCGGGACACAAAACAAGACCGGGACGATCAGGTGACAGCCGGGTGGCGCCTGAGCTCACACGTTTCTGTCAGAAGCGTCTTTGAGCATAACAGTGAAGACCCACAAACATAGACGAGGACACGTCTGGGGGGGATGGTGTCATAGCAAATGAGTTCCTTATCGAGTGGCAGACAGGAGCATACCAAGACGGCGGAGACAGCGGCAGATGTGATAACAACGGTGCATTCCACTCTGTGACAACGCTCAGGGTGTGAGAACAGTGGACACACAGAGCTTCCTGTTACTGCCTGGATGGCAAAACTGACCAGAGTACAGTGAAAAAAAGCCTTTGTCCCTGCAGAACTCCCACAGGACGTTTCCAGGTACACCGAGATGCTCACGGATCATTTTACATGAGAGTGCTGCTTTTATCTCTTTTTTTTTTTTTTGCTTTTCTGTGGCTCGACCCTGAAACCAAGGTGCGGAGCAAAACCGTAACATTTCACGGCTGTCAGATAACCATTGATCTGCTTCACCGTCTGCCCGCTCTGTTTTTCTTTTACTTTCATCTCTCCATCTGGCATGACATAGTTCCTCCTTAGGTCATCAGAACAGCGGGCAAAACAAGACTTCACCTGCCAACTGTGACATCATCACGTCAGGTGTGTCGGTGCTGCAGGTGTTTTGCTCCGGGGTGGGGGGGATGTGGGGGAATGGAAAGCATGTCGTCGGCCTTCATTTTACAAGCTGAGACAATGTGCTTCCTGGAGGACTCGTGGTCTCCTAGATAGAATCACACATTTTTCACACATTTCACACATCGACACCAGATAGTCCGTCTCTCTTTGGTTCAGACTCGCTCAGCTCTGAGCATAACACTTCTTTTGTCCGTCCTTCCTCTTTTTTTTCTTTTCTTTTATTAGCAAGTATCAGGCTTCTCATTTACAGCTGGTGCTCAAAAATCAGTGACCCTTTGAAATGCAATGACAAAGATAATATCAGCTGTAGCTAGTTAGGGGGGGGGGTCAGGGTTTTATATCATTCTGTAGCTTCCCAGTGGCTACACTGTAGTTCGTTTGGTGTCTTTCAAGAGAGCGATACTTCAGTTTCCTGTTTGAAAGGGCTGTCTGACTGGAAGGTCAAATATTCTACAACACTTAAAGAAATATTGAATCATTTAGGTGTATTTTTTGGGTGGGGGTGGTTAAAATACACAGCTGCAGTCCACAGTCCACAGCTGCTTTGTCTCGCCGCCAAACGGGGAACTGAATCCATTGTACCGCTCTCTTCAATGACCCAACCAGACTCATTTTAACACACATCGCCACTTCAATCTAACCAAACCGATCCTTTCAGTTAGGGATGCTAGCAATTAACCGTTAAACCTTTAACCGACAATACAAACCTTTGACCCATAATTGCCATCAGTTTAACAGTTAAAGTAATAAACATAAAACATAAAAACATAAAATATGAAAATGGGAGTGTAAGTTAACAGCCTGTATGGTTAATACAACAAATCAAGACTATACATGAGATGTGAATCACTAAGAGCAGCACAAACAGACAGCAGGACAGGGGCTAACTCTGTGTGGTTGACCCGCACTGCTTCTGTTGTCCCATGATGTCATTGTTGCCGGGCGAACTGACTGACAACAGGTGACAAGCGGACGGAGGCCGAGGCGACGTCACACAAAGGACTGGTCCGGCTACGTCCCTCGCACCGGTCGCATCGAGACGTTGAACGTCACACGAAACCGCAGATGGAGGGCTCACAGGAAGCCCGTCAGTATCCCATGAGGCTGAGGCTGCTGGGATGTATTTACGCGGCATTTTGTGCTCATCTACATTTCAAGAATGGGACATGTAAGGACAACAAATAGGCAGCGTCTAGATAGAACATGCTGAATTTGTCAAACAGTATGGGCAAGTAACCAATCGCAGCGATATGAAACACCCCCATCACACACCACAAACGCACACTTTTACAATAACCCACAAAGAGCTTTTCTATTCGTTACTAGTCCGCTGTAAACACAGCAGCAGCTGGAGAGGCAGCACAGGAGAAAGTGCCCCGTCACCTCAGGAGCTAGAAGCTCCTCTGATTGGACTCTAAGTTTAACTGCGACACGTACGAGCTTCTCGTCCGGCGAGAGAGGCTCCAAATAATGAATGAATGGGTGGACGGCGCTAAGAGCTAAAGCTCGTTCTTCATCTGAGTGGGAAGGGAGGCCAAAGAGTTGAACGGCAGTTCAAATAGATGTGGTAGAAAGGCGGGCTAATCCTCCAGCATGAGCCCTGTATTTGAACTGCTAAACCAGCTTCAGAGGTGATATCGCTGATGGTAAAGGAAGGGGAAGTGTTTAACCTGCTGCAATCTTTAGTCCCCCAAATCCTACGGCAGCTCCACTGCTTCCCAACCAACCCCCCTCTGAAAACTTACGAGTCTCGGGTCATCTCTGCTGAGAGCGGCACCTCCGCCTAAAAGAGCAACGCGTGGTTGGGAGGCGTTTTCGGTCTGAGTCTTGAAGAGTCCACTTCCTCCACCACTGAGTGACTGAGTGAGCAGCTGCGTGTCTGGCCGGCTTCAGTTTGAGGGGAAAGTGAACCGGCGTTTAGACAGACAGTGACAGTGGCTGGTGGCTGGTATCACCCCCCCTTCTCATGCACCCACCCGCCCGCCCACGCTCACTCACCTCACTGGAGCCAGGGCTAAATGTGGAGCAGCTGGGAGGGGGGGTGTTTAACAGGTCTCTATGCCCTTTCCAAAAATAGATATTCTAACGTGCTAGCACCATCGATCATGGATTATGTGGAGGGTGGTTAACGGTTTACTCATTGGGATACAGGTGTTACCATCGGTTACAAAGAAGAAACCACGCCTGAACAAATGAAGACTAGAATAACTAACAGACCTTAGGCCCGGAGACTTTCAAACAGACAGTGTTGGGTGGTGAAGTTGGAAAGATGTTGGCATTTAGTGAGGGTCTAACAAAAGCACACAAGTAGTTGCATTATGGGAAATGTAGTGGCTACTTTGATTTTGACCATTCTTTTTTTAACCTGTCTGCTGAGTTACCCAACTCTTTGGAATAATGATACTAAATCTCTACTGCACAGCTGGCCACATCATTTTACAGCACCGAAAAACAATTCAGAGATGCATTGTGTCTTTTAACAATTTGACAAAAAAACTAATTATGTCAATTAAAATGAATTCAAAATGTCATTATGGCCAATCAGTGTATTTTGTGAAGATGGCCTTTCTACATTATTATTATTACTATTTCATGCCACATTTTACAGTCATCAGTCTCACATCAGACACAACCATAGACTGTATGTAAGAAGTAGTCACCATGAGGT